GGCCAATCTGGGTTGGCAAACTTGATAGCCCAAACTGCCCATCCGGCTATGGTGTCTCTGGTTGCAGCTCAGTGAGGTTTTATTGTGGTGATGAAAAGCTGCGAAGTTGTACCCTTGAGTTTTCTGGTTTTGGCTAAGTACCATTTAAGATTCCGCACTGGGCACCATGGTTTGTCATCGGGAGTCCCAGTGTGTTTGGTAATGTCTGGTACAAAAATGTCAGGAGGATGGAAGGAAGATAATTTGTTCCTGGTGAGAAACCCAAGTGTTGAGATGAGACAAACACCATGGGGTTCCCATCAGATGTGGCCATCTGTGATGGACAATGCCTTCAGTTCACTGCTGCGCTGTGAGGTAGTAACTGCCAGCAGGAATGCCAGTTTCACCGATAAGTTGATCAACGATGCGTCGCTGAGAGGCTCAGAGGGAGGACCAGCAAGAAGTTGGAGGACAGCTGACAAGTCCCATGAAGGAATTAGTCTCTTAGTTGGGGGATGCTCAAGAAACATCCCCTGGAGTAGATGTTTAAGAGCAGTATTGTCGGACACAGTTGAACCATCTGGGAGACCATCGTGTACAGCCGCAATGGCCGACTGGTAGTTACGGATAGTTGAAACCTGAAGATCTGATTTGAACAGGTGCATGAAGAAGGCAGCTATAGAGGTCACAGGTACCCGGACGAGAAGTCTGGTCAGACGCGGGAATCATGGCTGGCGTGACCAGAAAGAGGCAATGAGAAGGACACGGCGTTCCCTTTCGATCTTGAAGAAGAATTGCAGGTATTAGGGACATTTGAGGGAAAGCGTAGGCCAACATCCCTTCCCAATTGATTTGAAGAGCGTTTGTTGCCCAAGCTTGCAGGTGGTAATATCTAGTGCAGAACACTGGCAATTGGGCATTCTCCGCTAAGGCGAAAAGATCGTTGTTCAGTTTTTCTACTTCAGCGAAGATCTGTTTGACTACACTGGTGTGCAGAGTCCACTCCGTGGGACGTACTTTTCCCAGAGAGAGAGAGCATCTGCTATGGAGTTGTCGACACCAGGAATATGAGTCCCCTGGAGGTGGATGCCATAATCCTGGCCCAAAGGAATATCTGTCTCGTCAAGAGGCATAGGCGGGGAGAAGGTGTGCCTCCCTGGCGATTGATGTATAACACCACTGTGGAGTTGTCCGACTGGATGAGGACTCGTTTGCCTATGATGCTTGGGCGGAAAGCCTTCAGTGCATTGAATACGGCCTGAAGTTCCAGTATATTGATGTGACTCCCTTGGAGCTGGAGGTCCCATGTTCCCAATGCTTGAAGTGGCAGTAGAGAGGCTCCCCAGCCCAGATGAGAAGCGTCCGATGTTATGGTTATTTCCAGGTTCACCTTGGGGAAGGGAACTCCAAGAGAGAGGTGCTTCTTCACTAACCAACACTGTAGATGGGGGTGGATGAAGTCTGATTTGGGGACCTGGAGATTGATTGAGTCCCATTTTGAATTCTTCAGGTGGATAAAGCAGTTCAGAGGTTTGAGGTTGATAATGGGTCACCTGCTGTTGAGTTCCTTCTTTGGAGAGAGGAAGAACATTGAAATGAAGCCTTAGTTTGCTTGAGATTTGGGAACCGGGTGGAAAGCATGTTTCTGAAGGAGAGAGTCTATCTCGGACTCAACTGAAGTCAGAGGGAGGATAGGTACAGATGGAGGGGTGCTTGCAAATTCGAGGGCGTATCTGTGACGAATGGTGGTGAGTACCCAGCTTTCCGATGTGACTTTTTCCCAAGACCCTGCAAAGAGTTGAAGTCCCCCGCCGACGGGTCTGAGATCGGCAGGCTGAGGTAAATTTGAATAGTCAGCGATGCCTAAACCCAGGAGGTCGGGGGTAGCATGGCTCAGTGGTTCTTCCCTTGAAGCTCCTCTGGGGTGGCTTGCAAAGTTGAGAGGAGGATGGACGGCCGCGATCTGGTAACTGGGTTGACGAAAGGGGCAAAAGGAACCACTTCCTGAAAGGGGCAAATGGAACCACTTCCTGCCGGGGACTCCGGGATTGGAGACGTGCGGTTTATATGGGTGGCCCGGTCTCCGAATTCGGACAAAGGAAACAGGGCCCTGTAGCAAAAGACCGTACTCC